AAAAGAACCGGAATATGTGTGATAGTACGGCCCACCGCTAAAGTAATGTGTGGTTTTACCAATATCAACGGATGGCTTTGACCGACGATTTTTAAATGCGGACTGATTGAAAAGAAGACGTCAATAGATAAAGTTGTAGCTGCAAGGGTGAAGATTCATGTAAGCTACATTTAAAGTCTCGTTGCAGTCTGGCTAATCGTTCCTAGGCTTCAGAAGCAGATCATACCCATGACTGAAACCACACATTACTTCTGCTGTGGATTGTACCAAGTACCAACCGTCTTCTATCTACATACCAAATTTCAGATCGATATCTCGTTTTTTGGCCAAGTTATAGGGAAAAAACTGTTTAAAAATGATGACGTTAAATTTGCAAACTCAATTTTTGGCAATTCTGGACCACGTAGGGCAAAACAAAGACCACCATTAGATTCCCCGTGACGAGCTGCATCGAATCAATATACCCATGTTATGCAAAAATATAAACTTTGAAATTTGACTTTATTTGACCTGACCTTGACCTGACCTTCACCAAAACGTGACCTAAGCTGGCCCCAAAGGCTGCCTGACCCACATAATCGCATTTGCCATATAAAATGGACCATAAAACATGCATCACACGACACTTTCATATTGTGGCCCCCAGTGACCTGACCTCTGTGACCTGACCTGGTATCAGTGACCTCGGATAACAAATTATGTGTTTGACGAACAATGTACCATCGATGGTTTTCAATAACTTACCAATTTACTCGATTTTACAACACATTTCTTGAAATGCCTGTGAACGGCGAAATCCGACCTTTGACCTGACCTGTGACGTCATCGGTTTGACCTAGGTCAATGAAATTTGGTCACAAGGTAGCTCCCCGGTGGGGCTATCGAACGCCGTTTGATTTTTGAAAATCAGCCGGTAAATTTCTGATATCTTAGGGGGCCGAACCGCCTCCCCCCTACGGGTGGTAGGGTCCGCCGATAGCCCTACGGGGCGCAGGTTAGGTATCATCATTTATTGTCCTCAAACAGTTTCCAGTCAAACTTATGCCAAAAACAAAACGCACATAAACCTAATCGTACCTAAACAATTTTACAAATATACCTAATCGTAGAGTATGAACATTTGATCACTACCGGTAAAAATGTTCACGAGGATAACGCTTCTGCTGGGCTTAGGTCTGAATTTGAGGGCTTTACGAATGGATTTGTATTCCGATCGAAGCAGTTAAAACTTTAACTTAATGTTAAAAAGAAGCAGACTAACCCGCGCCGGGCCGGGGGGGGGGTGTTTGAACACCCGCCCCCCCCCCCCTGCGGTTTTTCGCACATATCTCAAGCGCCGTCGTTTTTGGCACACCTGTCCGTGCATCTTTTCCGCACATGTGAAAATGTCAGACCCATGTCGCCTTAGGTCAGGTCACCAGGTCACGCCAAGTGACTTCACCTCAGAAAAAAATAAGAATGCTCGTCATAGCTACACCGATTGATCGATTGCCTTGAAACTTTCAGTTATTGATAAGAACAACATTATATATAAAATGTATGTCTCGGAATTTTGATATCGGTGACTTAAGGTCAGGTCAATTTAGTCAATGGGAGAAAATTGAAAAGCGTCCGTTTTGCAAGAACGCTATTCTAGACACTCTCAAACATCGAGTTGTAGGTAAGATTGACACAGTGAACCGGAAAATGGCAACTGTGACCCCTCGTTATGTCCCCGAGGTCATCGCAGGTCACGAACAGAATCTAACAGTTTTTCGCTAATAACTTCTGATAGAGGCGTGCTAGAGCGCTGAAAACGCCTTTCGGCTCGACTTTGCGGATCGACTGATTTGCAACATGACCTTTTCCGGTCAGGTCATGACCTTGACCTGAGGTCAAATTTTCAAGTTGACCTTTCAAGGTCAAATTATAAATCATTCGACGCGTCTCGATGAGACGAACACGATGCTGGCAAAACTAATATCATGGCTTGTTTGAGTCAAAAGTTATTGCCAAAAAACGCTTTTCGTAAAAACAGCTATTTTTCGAGGTTTTGCCCTCTGGAGGCTAAACCGTTGACCTGAGGTCAAATCTGAGAACATTGTTCAAAAAGGTCTGTAAAAGGGCTACCGAATGCGCTTTTCCGCGGCGCTGTAGCTCTATCGGTTCCCGAGATAGCCGTCGGCAGTTTCCAAAATGTTGAAATTGTCAACATTTTAACTTTGGTGACCTCTTGTGACCTGACCTTTGACCTGACCCAAAAAAATGACTGAAGTGTTTTCGTCCTTATTTTGGACGTTCTTTCGACTGCCGCTTACCACGTGTCGCAACGTGGCCCAGGAGCCGATTTAGAAGGGGGGGGGGGGTGTTCAGACACCCCCCCGGCCCGGCGCGGAATCTCTGAGCACCGGCCCGGCGCGGGTTAACCCTCGCCGGCACAGGCTATTTTGAGTCCTTCGAGGGCACAAGGGGGTTGGTACGGTTGGTACGATCCCCCCCCCCCCCCCCCCTTGCGTTTGGCGCCTGATGGAGCTAGAGCTTCGCGGAAAAAACGAGCGTGTTGCCCGTCACGAGAGAAAACCAATGATACCCAATTTTAAGGTCCTAGGTCATTGGTTGACCTTCCAGGTCAGGTCAATGACTCCAAAATCGGGATTATCGGGACCTGTTAGAAAGTCGTAAAGCGTGGCTGCTAAGAGGTTTTCCGGGGTGCTGATCACGAATATCGTGTTAGTTTTGATCAGTAATGATGTTGTTAAGCGTTTAGACCAGGTCGGGTCAGGTCAGGTCAGGTCAGGTCAACCGGTAGGGGTCGTGACGGGTATTCGTAGTGCCTGTCATCCGCCTCTGACAGCTTCGTAACATGTTACGTAGGCACCAAAACTACTTCGTAAATGTTCAAATGGTTGCTAAATTTGAATTCAGCTCCAACAACTAGCCCTTGCCCCGTTGGGGGGGCATTTTGCCCTCCCCCTGTGGGTTTTCCTGAATAGCAAGAAAACGGCGGCGCGCAGCGCCGCCAAATTTTCAGTACCTTCCCGGGCATCAATTTGACACCTTCACACCAGATTTCAAGTCTTAGGTCACCTTAGGTCAGGAGTTATTGAGGTCAAACTGAGGTCATGTTCGAGCAAAAATGAGCAAAAAACATGCAATCTTGAAACGCTCACCAAATCTACAGTTATCAAGCAATTTCAAAGTTCTTTATATGGTCTAGTAGACAAAAAGCGGCGCCACAAAACTGCGATCTCGGATTTTCAAAATTTTTGGTTTTTGACCAAAAAAATTCAAAAAATTGATTTTTTTAGAAAAACTAAAAAAAAAACACAATTATTCCGAGTTTCGAAAAAAACCGAAATATATGTGATAGTCCCAGCGCTCTTCTATATACATACCAAATTTCAGATCGTTATCTCGTTTTTTGGCCATGTTATAGCGAAAAAAAAACTGTTCAAAAATGATGACGTCAAATTTTTGAACTCAGTTTTGGCGATTATAGACCACGTACGGCAAAACAAAGACCACCATTGAACTCCCCGTGACGAGTTGCATCGATTCAATCCCATTTTATGCAAAAATATTAACTTTGAAATTTGACCTAATTTGACCTGACCTTGACCTGACCTTGACCTGACCTTGACCTGACCTTGACCTGACCTTGACCTGACCTTGACCTGACCTTGACCTGACCTTGACCTGACCTTGACCAAAACGTGACCTAAGCTGGCCCGAAAGGCAGCCTGACCCACATAATCGCATTTGTCATGTAAAATGGACCATAAAACATGTGTCACACGACACTTTCATATTGTGACCCCCCCCCCCCGTGACCTGACCTCTGTGACCTGACCTGGTATCAGTGACCTCAAATAACAAAATATGTGTTTGAAGAACATTTCCCCATCGATGATTTTCAATGAAATGCATTTTACTCGATTTTACAACGCATTTCTTGAAATGCCTGTAAACGGTGAAAATTGGACCTTTGACCTGACCTGTGACGTCATCGGTTTGACCTAGGTCAATAAAATTGGGTCACAAGGTAGTTCCACGTTGGGGCTATCCAACGCCGTTTACCGCTTGCCGCTATGTTGCATGGTTCTCGAGATCTTAGGGGGGGCCAAAATGCCCCCCCCCCCCCAACCGGGCGCGTTGCTCGGCAGAGCCCAACGGGGCGCGGGCTAGCCTAGAAACATGTAAAACTCGAAAAAGTGAACCGAGGTCACCAAAGGTCAATGACCTGACCTTCAGGTGACCTTGACACCCACCTTAATGCATGGGAGCAACATCAAATCACATGTTTGAACGTTTGAAACCACGAAAAGCTTGCAAACGCGCGGCTAATGCGAGCCGACATACGCCGAATCGCGATTTCGGCCAAACATGGTCACGGAAAAGAGGTCACAGGTCAAAGTTCATTGGGTCAGGGTCATGAAATTTTCAGGGTAGGTGTAAAATTGATCAATGCGAGGGTATTGAAAGTTTCGTCGCGATCGGCCGATTTTTACGCGAGTTATTCGCGAAAAACCTTAGGGTGGTTGCATCAATCCCCCCTGTGCCGGCGAGGGGTGGGGGTCAACCCCCCTCGCTGGGGGGTTGACAACCCCCTGTGTCAACCCCTCTGCCTAGTATCATGGGAAGCTTCCAATGGGTACAACACAGATAACAGTAGTATGTACTACAGTAGTAGGGTTATCTGTGGATATAACTACATGTGTGTACGTACATGTGGCTATGATACGATGAGTCAGATTTTTCATTTAATTTTCATTTAATTTTCATGAGAAAGAACCAACAATTTATGAGCAGCCAACTATTTCAGGTAGAGCACAAGAAGGTAGCATGTATCGTGGTAATGCATCACACTACTTGCTACCTGATGCCCCTTATTGCTTGCCACTCAATCTCATTCCACTGATAGCAACGAAGTGGTCATGGCCCATGTCACTGAGCCGCCCTCAGTTGCCCCCCCCCCCCTCCCCCCGCCCGTCCGGCCTCGTTTGCCGCTCTGCGAGCTGTCCCAGACGTCGGCAGCCGAGCCGACAAGTTTTCCGTAAGATAAACTGGCGGCAGGCGGCGCCGCGCAGCTCACCACGCCGTCCCGTCGACGGCGACGATCCAGTGTCGGCCGTGGCGTCGACGGCGACGATCCAGTGTCGGCCGTGGCGTCGACGGCGACGGAATCGACGGAGCCGTCGGAGTGGGCGGCGGAGGCTGGTGGCAAGGTCACGCAGTAAGTCAGTGAGTGGGTGAAAGCTGGACGAGTGCATAAAGCTTCTTTTGAGCCTCATGTAAAACTGTGGTATTGTAGGTACTGCCCTATTTGAAAACCTGGCTGGCCTTATGGCCGTTTTAATGATATGAATAGACATTAGGTAGGCATAATTGCTGGCGGGGGGGGGGGGGTGGTGGTAGACAAGCATCCTATTCCTGGCATAGATACTTGGACATTATGAGAGGTTGATTAATCATTGCACTGACATTTATGATAGTCAAATTCATACAGAGCCCCTTCCAAATAAAACTTGTGCCACATGTCTCTTGAGTTGTACCTACAAAAGCTCAATGAAGGCAAATAAAACAGTTGTCAAGCAAACGGGTATTCGATTCATCTTTTATATCGAGCAAACAAAGGACAATTTTCTGGAGGACTTGCACCAAAGAAAAGGTGCCGAGCAATAAATGATGTCGGGTGGCAATCATCATTGTGTCCATTTAGGTATGCCTAGCGACGTAAAAAGATACGATTTTCTAGGGGATTAGCTTGAAGCTGCTCAGAAAGGAAAACTTTTCAAAATGAGCCTCCATATTTTATTGGCCATAAAAACAATCACCGACTTTGATAAATCAGAAGTCAGTCTTCGTCTCGTCATTCAATGTGACCCTAGTGCCTTGATAAGGCTGAGATCATAAATCAGACACGGCTTACAACAGCTACGACGTCCAGCACCTGGTGACGTCACCATCTTACGCAGCAGTGACGTCATCAACGTGTCATTTGAGTGTGTGACGACGGACCGAGGTGGGCGGTGCTCGCTGATCTATAGCGCGCACTCAACGGTCGGCAGCTCCACTCAAAACGGCGTCAACAGATGCTCAACACCCGCCGCTCTCATTTCCACCAAATGACTGCGCTGTGGAGAATGCCGGAAGAATCTTGGATGGCCATATCAGATCTATATTTCAGCGTCAGCTCGAGCGGCGCGCTCGACTGAGATGGTGCCATTGTGTGTGGTAGTAGGGTCGTTGGGCTGCGAAACCACTACGCTGTCCCCGCGGGGATCCTGCACATGCGGAGAATCGATTCGCAGGGCGCCACGCTATGGAAGCTGCCTCGGGGAGGCGCAATCGCATTTGAGTCGGAGCCATTAATTCATAAAGATAAATACGTTTCTGATCCCGCCTCGGGCCACCCTGTCGGCGTTATTTCGCGTCGTTTCCGGCGGGAGGACGGGTGTAGTCGGATTGACGAAAGGTTCGTGCCAGAACGACCTCGGCCGACGACCGCCAGTAGGAACTTCCGCGGGACTGCGGTCCAACTTTGGCCACTGTCACCGTCCGACTCACAACTTCCGAAATCGGGGGTCGTCGCGTTCGACAGCCGCGGGACGCCGAGTCGTCGGCAGCGACAGAGCGGGAGGCGGCGGGCCGCGGTAGGCCGACCGATGAAAAAGGCGACAGCTGCTTGTTTATGGCTGCGTGGGGTCGACGCCCACTGGCTGGAGTGTCACAGGAGAGGGTTTGGGTGAAAAACAGCTACAAAAACAGGCTTTAGTTGAAATACTTAGGGCTCCGAGGGCCAAAGGTTTAAAAAAGTCCCTGCAAAATTCAGACGATTCGGTAAACCATTGTTATTTCAAGTTTTGCCGTTGACACGCATCATCACATTTATTGTTGATGATGGTGCCAAGAGCTCATTTTCCGGTTTCTTGCACCCGACTTTCGTCCATTTTCCGCCGGTTCTCCTGAGCTCCACTGTGCGCTATCAGCGGACTCCAACTGATCCACCGTGCGTCATCAGCCACCGCTCTCTGATCCCCAGCGGTCATCACCCAGATTGGCTTCGTCTCTGCGCCATGGGTGCCGCCTGCCTCCGTACGACCGGGCGTCGAGCCGAGGTCCGACCACAGTCTTCTGAGAACGCTCAGAGGGAAATACAACACGCCCGGAGCGGCGCGCCGTGCGCCGTTTGCAAATGGCCACAATGCGTGCCCGGCCGGCGGGCGAGGGAGGGACGTGACGCATTTGTTTAGCGTGATGAGATCGTAACAGGCTTCGAAAGAACGTCGCTATGATTAAGCGTCCAATATCTCAACGGATAAGAGAAAATGGAAAATGACTGTCGCTATAGAGTCTTGCTGTTGCTTATAAGTTACAGAAAGTGGGCTCATTTGCAGGGATTAGAACTGCGGCTTACACAATTTCAAACCAAGGAGGTTCGGTGTCATCCCGTCAAATAGACAGGACCAGAGTCGCTGCCAGGGTCCTTGCAAGCTTGCGAGCCAGAGTAGGCCTGCATGAGTTTTTATTGTTATCATGAAGACATAATTCATCTTTTTTTCATTTCTTTTGTATTAAATAATACTTTGTTCGAGATAACTAGCAACTGGTTGTAGCATCCACATCACGAATATCGAAAAAGCACCAGGGAACTAAATGACAAACAAAATCACCACTCTGACCCGGCCGGGCGGGCCCGTCGCGCTGACCCAGGCGCCGTGCTCTGGGTGGTCGGCGGTCGCGTCAGCTCGCCTATTTCGGCTCCGGCCGGCCTTCTCCCATTGTTGATGTCAGCCGCACATTCGAGTGACGCTCTGTTTGGAGGCTCCCGGATTATGCGGGCGTTTACTTTCAGAAATTTTTAGACTTTATCGCGGCTTCGGTGCCAAATGTCGCTAGGCTGTTGTTGACGAGCGTAATATTTGGGCGCACTTGACCTGTTGAAGTTATGTTTATCATCCGTTCTAAAATTTCCCTTAAAAGCTTATCGCACATGGCCAAAGCACCTACTTTGACATAAACATTTACAGTGATGTGTTTATGATCTCAAAAGGAAATGGGGATCGTATGTGATGGCTTTCAATGAACGGAAGTCATAATGCTCCTTTTATTCTCTGGATCTTTTCGACATTTTCGGTATACGACATTCGACAGCTATGACACGGAATAAGTTATAAATAGAGCTGATTTTAAAATATATAGATAGGCATGCTACAGAATGAATATCGAATAAATTAACATCCTTAGAGCTTGATTTAGCCCGACTCTGACCTTACATTTGAGGCTAGTTAAGGTATAGATGCATTGATGCGCAAACTTATTTATACTGTTTACTAAGACTTTTCACCCAGATTAAACATAGATACTGGATGTCTCCGTTCCTTTCTTGAAAATAAAAGGAAATCAACAGGTCCTCAGGCAATATATAGGACTTGATAACGATCATATTAGGTAAACATTTATTATCTCTCCACTGTCCATTTGCCCCTCCCCCCAAAAAAAATGCTAGTTTTTAGTTTTTTTAGTAAGCTGCAGCTCTCTTGTTAGGCAGGCCCCGTTCCATTACCGTTTCATTTTCCACTAACACCGAGGTTTTGACAGTAGCTCGTCCTTAGCTAGATACTTTTCCAACTCTCTCCGAGTGCTTATCAGCGGCTCGGCTCTCGTGGCTCCGACCGGTTTCATTAGCTGTCTCTCCCGTTGGTTCTCAGGCTGTCGACGAGTGGATCACCCGGACGGCTCTCCCCGGTAAGCAGCGCCGGCGCATCCTCCCACTGGACGGCACGGTCTGAGTGTCGGACGCCGAGTGCCACTCAGACTGTCGAGTGTCGGACTCGGCGGCGGATTCTGAGAGTGTCAGGGTGTCAACTTAAGCCGACTACGGCGCCGAGGACTGCCCACAGAGCGAGCGGCAATCTCAGCTCGGTAATCCGCGGTCCAAAATAGTTTCACCGCTGACCCCCGACGCCTGGTCACTGGGCAGTCTCCTGCAGCACTGCAAGAGGTCAGCTGAGGGCACCTATGGTGGAAGATCAGCCATCCCTGTTGGCTAGGGGGGAGTGCGCTTGGAAATCGCCTTCGCAGTGACTGACACGAAAGGCGAACCGGTAAACTATGCAGCAAACCGGAAAGTCGTGAAGCATCGTTGGGAATGCGTGCTACGATCATGATGAGTGAATTTGAACTGGCTAGGGACGTTCGAAGTTGACCCGTGTCTGAGTTTTTGGACTGGTGTGTAGTCAATTGCCAGTGGCAGACCACCGACCACGAACTGCATACTCCCGAGTCCCGATACCACTGCAGTGTCTTCGGCAGTGTCTCCAGTGCCGTTTCCCACCAGCCGCGTCGCCATGGTGAAGCGGAACAAGAAGTGCTACCGGCTGCGCTACTACATCAAGGTGTTCTTCACGCACCTGTTCTCGCACGTGGGTCTGTGCGGCCTGGTGGTGGGCTACTCGGTGGTCGGCGCGTTCCTGTTTGAGTCGCTGGAAGGCCAGCCTGCGGAGCCGACCGAGCGGCCGACGCTGCCCCGCGACAAGCGCCGCGAGATCGACGACTTCCGCGCCAGGTGTCTGGAGGAGCTGTGGGCAATAAACAGTGAGTACACGCCGAGAGAGCAGCGCGCGGGCTGGGAATGTAACGGTATTTAGACCGCTAATGTAGCCTGCGGCTGCGCGCATGCAACACAGCCCTTTAGGTTGCTGAGAAACCATGCTAGCCCGATTGAGGTAAATTTGTTTATCGGTGTTTCAAAATGTTTGACACTAGCACAAATATTTCACTTCACCGTATTTGTGTGCATTTGAAGCGCAGAGTTTTAGAAAACAAAGCTTATTTTCATGTTTGTTCGTCTTTGTAACATGCTAAACAAAATAAAACAGCGGGAACGCCAATAAACACTGCATCAACAAGCCTCCTATATAGATGTAACCCAATAACTATAGCGGCGTTGGGTCACGACCTTGGCCGGTGTGAAGCCAATATCGCCAAGTTGGGCGGCCAGTCGCCGCGGGGCTGTGGCTCGTACCCCGCCAGACCCCGACGCCAAATGTCACCATCTTTATGAGGAGACGTCAAGACATGAACTTCATCGTCGCTCGATAACCCGAAATAGACCCCTCCTAAATATTCCGGGCGTTTGACACGTCACTAAAACTGACTAACGTGTGTAGCTGCTTTTTAATGAGTTTTAATCGTAAATATAAATAACATTTACACCAAAAAATAACATTTTCATTCTCGAGAACGAATAAAACCTTTTACTTTCGTGCAATGCTCTCGTAAAATTTATTAGTTTCTTTTAGGTAAAAAAGCCAAGCGTGGCGGGGAAAAAGTGGCTGATGGCCGCCAATGTCTGTGACATCTATCGCTTTCCACCCGGCTCTCGTTCACCGGCCGTGTCCTCTGCCGGCCGTTCCGCGCCGTCCTGGCGCCTGTGATGTATGTAGCCAATAGGGCAACGCTGGGGGCCGCAGCCGGTGCCGGTCGGTGGAGGATTTAGGATATCGCCGAGCCCTCCAGCGCCGGAGAGCTCTGATGGTCCCGCCACACATCGCCCCATCCCTTCCTGCAGGCGTCACTTCGCAGCCTACCCCTGTCCCACGCCAGCCGTTACTTCACAGACTACCTCTGTGCCCGCCAGCCGTCACTGTGCACCCGCCAGCCTCCCCCATTTACCGTCCCTCCCATCCACTCCCAGCTATACCGCCTTCAGTTGCACCCATCACCATCATCCAGGGCCGCCGACAGTCCACATCCCGTGACCCGCCCTGACAACAATCCCCTCCCCGTCCGATCCCATCCCATCCCCCTGCACCGCCCGCCGGAGCCGGCTCCGCCTCTGCCGCCGCTCGGAGCTCGGGACCCGGCACAAAGCTGGCGCTCGCTGCCGCCGGCCGCCCCCCGGGACCACTATATTGCGGCCGCCGCCGCCCAGCCCCGCTGGATCCACACCAGACAGTGTCAGACAAAGTGACAGAAATTGGACGGCTGTTCATTTGCATGGCTTGGTTATGCGCATAAGTGTGGTTGGCAGCATTATGGGTCACTGTATGGGCCACCAAGATGTCTGTTGGGTGGAAAAGATACAGTTGTTACCAGAACGGAATAGCTAAAATATAACCTGCGTATGAAACTTAGTTATTGTTTTTAACTGTTTGTGACAACAGTTCATTCGCATAGGCTGATTGACTGCTTATCGGAATTAGATCATTATACTATGTAAGCAGTACAATATATTGTTGTACCCTTACATATTAGGTATGTCATATAAAAACTTTTCTGTCTAGCACCTCTTCATTGTATCATCTACTGGTTGATATAGGTTAGGAGGTGCGGCCGAATCTAATGTAAGTCAAGAAAGGGAGGACCCATCTTTTACAGCATTGACTGAGTTAGCATGCGTTCTAGCATATCATCGATCGATAACACATTGTTGCAGCATTCGATTTAACTATTTTCCTCGCTGCTCTTGCTCGGCGACAGGCATGGTAAAGTAGTGTGTTGGCTGCCAGTAGCTGATGACTTCCGCCACGTCCTCCGATTTGCATATAACATTCAGGAAGAATGGTAATACCTCGGGTCTAGTTAGGTTATTTATGTTCCCATTTTAATATCCGGACAACAGAAACGATGGCAAAGTAAACTGATTGGTTCCCCAAACCGTCCCGATTGTCTGTGCATTACCATTGACAATGTCTATGTCTAGAACAGTTACATGATGCATTCATCATCATCATCATCATTCTTTATTATGCACCGCTTTTACAGCGACAGATATAAATATATACATGTGTGTGGTCACAAATGATGGGAGCCTGAAAAGCTGGTATCTCAGGTATAGGCGCTCAATGTGAGCACGTGAGGAGCCTCAATAGGCGCCTGGAGGCCTCACATGTTCCTTGAAGGACCAGCCGAATGCTATCCGCCAAGCCGTCCTCCAACCGCGGAGCCCGCACCCGGTCAGGGTCCACCGGCCCACCAGCCGCCAGCTCCATTACTGCTCGAAAGTCCCTGCTGTACATTTCAAACACTTGTAGGAGGAATGAGCCCTCAAGTTCTCTGGGGCACATGGTCAGCTTCGCTAGGGAGGTGATAATGATCTGTTTTAAGCGGTGCTCCGCTACCATCGCTGACCTGAGAGCAGATAATATTGCGACTCTCAACAACTCTCGAACCGGCGCCAAGCCAGCGGCCGTCAGGAGGGCAGAGTGATGTGCGAAGCGGGGCAGCCCGAATGCCACCTTCACACATCCGGCTTGAAGGGCATCCAGGCGGTCCACCTCGGATGGACGAAGAGGAGCTGTGCTACACCCGTACATCAAAGTAGGGAGGACAACAGCCTTCCATAGGTAAGCTTTGTCAGCCGGGCTTAAGCTTTTGGCCAGTATGCCAGCTGGTGCTAGGCCATAAAAGGCAGCTCGAGCCCTTTTGACACGCTGGTCGACGTGTCGGGAAGCCGTGGAGCAATAGAAGCAGAGGAGAGCTTTAAACGGCGCACAGAAAGTTTTTTATTAGTTCATGGCGTTACCCGCTGAATGGCTGGATTATCAATCCATCAGTGCTAAAATTCACGTGCTCAGAGATATGCTGCGTGTGTAAGTAGCTCATTCAGGCCTGCTGCTCATTCAGCTCATCGGCCCATGCTGTGATATTTCAGTGCTCATTGATAATATGCCTTTACATGGTCCACCTGTGGTCAATTGTCACTTTATACCCTCATTTGATTTACAAAGCATTTGAAAGTCTAACCTGACTAGCTATGAGTGCTCCAACACTGACTGAGTCGCCGCCGCGATGTCGAGCTCGACAGCAGAGCTCGGACCGATAAGGGAGCGGTTCTCCGCGGCGGATGTCCGGCTGCGATGGCTGCGATCGAGCTGTCGCGCTCGATTACACCCGGTCACATTATGCGCAGGGACCATTTAGTGATCCGGGGGACGGACACCGGTGGCCGAGTTATGGGCGGCGCCATACATCAGGGTCGGGACGCGGCCCGTCAGCCGCACGGGCCGGCGGTAACGGGGTCATGTCAGCGGCCCGGAGCGCCGGACAGCCCATTGGCTATGCGCCGGATGATGGAGCGACTCCCAGCGAGGAAGGGTGAGCTCGCAGAGGACTGGGAGAAAATGAAGAAGGCGGGTCTGTTGTCGATGTCGTATATGGGACACGAGAGGTGGAGTGCGGGCTGCTTTGATCCACCCAGTACTGCGGAGCTCCTCGGCTCCTGACATTTGATGGCGTTGCAGTAGCGTTATCGGCGACAACTGTCACGTCAAATGTCAGATAACGTCTCCAAATTGGGCGCTCCACTCTGGCATTGTCATGTGGGACACATTAATTCGCTCTCGCTAGATTTCTGGATTTTCAAGGGTGAAGGGAGCTGCTAAAATGCAGGATAATTATTAAAATGCTGAACTAACTCAAAATTAAGTAGGTATGGCACACGTCAGTTGTCGATCACAATAAGAATAGATTTATGTACTTTCACAACTGATCAGGCTGTAGCCGTAAGATGGTTTTAATCCCTTTATGACGAAGTAATACTGAGAGATAATCTATTTTGATGTCGGCGGCAAGACTGTTAGCATTATGTAAATACCGTCTAGGTGTGATCTGTTACAGCTCTACATATGCCAATGTATGTCCTCTTTTTCGAAATAGCATGCTTAACAGATGATCAAACTTTCTATGAGTTATCTGTGCATTTATACAGACCAACACACACCGCCATATACATACATAAACTTCATAATTACATATTATATTGATTTCTCATGCCATGGAAATGCTCGTCCCACACTTTTCCGATGTTGCCATCAGCCTGCAACTCACAACGACATGATGACTATCTATGCAAATAGAAATACAAGGTGAAGAATGATAAGCGACTTATGGTGGTCGATGCATTACGTGATCGAACTCGCTAACTAAACACAAGCATTGCGCAAAGGCGCTGTGAATGTGGTCCCATTGGATTAACTTGTCTGCAGAATTAGTAGCCACATCGTTATATGACTTGGCGCATGTATATCTCCCTGAGCATTATTAGCCACTGCATGTTCCCCAAGATGCCTGGAGGCCGCGCTTCACGAGATTCATCGGCGCATTTGTCAGCCCACACGAAATGCATATGCTAATTTTGGACACAAATAGCGAAACGCCCAGTCATGAAATGTATTGCCAATAGCAATATCATAATTCTTGGAGTCCTCTATCAAATATGTATATATGTATGATGCTGATAACAATGAAAACATTCATCCGAGGCACGTGCAGACAGCATAAGAGATAGTGCGGCCCCTTCATAAAACAGCAAACGAAAGGGTTTTCTATGCCGTTTGATGGAATAAGTTAGCTTAGTCAGGAGGCCGATTTGATCTGTTTGAGGAAACCATAACTATTCCAAAGTCATCCACAATCAACACATCCAACATTGCCATGTCGTCGTGAATCTGAAACTTACACAAAACGACCCCAGTCTGTCAAAATGCACAGTCGGGCTGCTGGAGACTGATAATTCATTCTTCACTGTCAATGAATGAGTTATCTGCCACATTTTAGCATCATCGACAATCAAACTCAACGGCATCGGATGTCGGTGTCGGAATTCACTACCCACGTCGCTTTGATATTTGTGGCCGTTTTCATCTACCGGTCACTTTCAGCAGCCCCTTATACGTCACTCCCATCACACAGTACCACTCTATCGACAGCCATATCTGATATCCTTCCGCCCGTCTAAGCTGCCTTAATTTTCAGTTCCACATTTCTTTTACATTGTTTCTCTCTCGCTCTCGCTCTCTCTCTCTCTCTCTCTCTCTCTCTCTCTCTCTCTCTCTCTCTCTCTCTCTCTCTCTCTCTCTCTCTCTCTCTCTCTCTCTCTCTCTCTCTCTCTCTCTCTCTCCGTATCGCAGTCTCTTCTCTTCTTGCACCTCTCTGGTTCTCTCCTTCGTTGCTTTCTTCATTCACCTACCCCTTCTTCATTCTGCCAATCACCTTCCTCTTGCTCCCAGGCTCATTTCAGTTTGTATTTAAATTGAAAGTTGAGTGTACGCATTTCTTTGTCGGATTGTGCGCGGACTTTGTGACGTCGCCGAGCGACGGTTGGTGGTAGCCGCCACACCCTCGGGGCATAAACATTTGTCAGTGGGCGTCCAATATGGCAGCGCTGCAGCGTCCGCCGATGTCGGCGGCAATCAGAGCGAAACCGACTCAGCTGACAGCTGACTGCGGATTGCAGAGACAACAGGCGTGGAAGAGAGGAAGAGGGAGAGAGAGAGAGAGATAGGGAGAGAGAGAGAGGGAGAGAGAAAGAGAGAAAGAGAGAAAGAGAAGGAGAGAGATATGCATAGACAATGAGAATGGCAACAACCTTTAGGTATGTGACTGAATTGACTGAAGGTCAATAAACACAATTGAAAATGTGTAGGCATGAATATACCAATGTTAAAAATGACCTATTTTGTGTTTCAGCTATCAAGTAAAAGTTTTGTTTTATTTTCGCCTTAGGGCTGGTCAATTATGGTTGAAACATCATAATGATTAAATGGAATAAAAAGAATCAGTTTGCTTTAAAAATGGGCCTTCTATCGATTAAATATCGGACCATCTCCTAAACGACTACCTTTTGTGTCCTATACTTTTTCGGTCACTCCTGAACAGCTATCACAAGTGCTGATGTATTAGCCGTCGATGTGGTTTTCAAGACTCCATTTGAGGCTCAATTTTTCATCACTTATCTACTTCACCGATCACCTTCGGAATCATGTGCTCAACAATTTGTCACAGCATTTCTAAGCAATCATATAAGCACTAAGCAGCCGAACGCTTGTCGACTAGGCTGTGCCGCAATGCCACCGAACGCTTGTCGACTAGGCTGTGCCGCAATGTCACCGAGCGCCTGATAATTAGACTGTGCCGCAATACCACCGAGCGCCTGACGACCAGACTGTGCCGCAATACCACCGAGCGCCTGATAATTAGACTGTGCCGCAATACCGCTGAGCGCCTGACGACCAGACTGTGCCGCAATACCACCGAGCGCCTGATAACTAGACTGTGCCGCAATGTCACCGAGCGCCTGATAATTAGACTGTGCCGCAATACCACCGAGCGCCTGACGACCAGACTGTGCCGCAATACCACCGAGCGCCTGATAACTAGACTGTGCCGCAATGCCGCCGAGCGCCTGATAATTAGACTGTGCCGCAATGCCGCCAAGCGCCCAGCCAGTTTCCACGCCACTTCACCATCCTTTGACCTAATACTTTGGTGCGGAATAGCTGACGAGCCGCTTATTTAGATCATTTCCGTCTCCAGCAAAAATTAATGCTTATTGTATGAGACGCAAGATAGGCATCAAAAGTTGAGACTTCCGTGACTGGCTTTTAGCTACTGAAAGTGGCAGTGGATGAAAGCTACCCTGATATGGAAATAGCCAAAACATGAAAATACAATACCGATATTGTCTCAAAGATCAATACGAGTATATGTCACTAACTTTGACACCTCAAATAATGATGGTATGGTGCCTATGATGGTAATGATGGTAATAATGATGGTAAGGTTTCAAATCAACATTTCATATTCGGTCTCTCATGTGAACCTGGCGTACTTCTCAACGACAAATATAATTTTAATATTTGTACTTCACAGAGACGTGACCGGAAGGTATACTCTACGCAGTTTTTTCCAACTCCGTCATCCTCTGCCAAAAAGCCTCACAGATGTGAGTCCGACAAGCCCTACCATGAGACGGTTGAGTATAATCTCATAGCCCTCAGTCATCTGGCTGGATGGGAGAGCGCCGGCGTGTGATGGCCTTACGAGGGCCATCAACGGCACAGCCTGATCAGAAAGCGCTCCCGAGCGCCGCGACTCGATGGCTCTGTGTCCAAGTCACCCCATCATAGACCAGTTCGGGAGCTTTGGAGCGACGGAAAAACGGCCGCCGCAATGCCGAGCGGCATCATGAAATGTCCTAACGATTAAATTGATTTTGCAAGAGTTATTTTGTGAGTGTTTTTTCCGCTACAAGATCATCTGTGGATTAGGAGTGAAAATGGTTAAAATTATAAGAGCTAAATTTGGCCAAGTGAATGTAGTTATATGCATTGCGAAAGGTGTCTCGAATCAGCTTATGTCATTAGGCAGTTGGCACAGCCCATAAAATATTTGATTGGCGGCACTAAAGCAGACGCTGAGTGTTGGGGCCATGATATGGTGTCGCTAACGTTCTGGAGCCAGTTACTGTTTGGAACATCCTAGCTGTCCCGTCTGAGCCTCTGCAAAGAAACACGTGTACAAAAGCGTGCAGTAGAATGACCATGGTCATTCTGCAACTGTGTCAACTGTGCACAGTTGGAGGAAGGCTCGCATGTTTTAGACTTTCTCTGTTGGAAAACTGATAACGATAAGTGACCCAATATAAAAAGTAAAATAGGAATCATGCAACGCAAACCATAACATTCTTACCGTATTTCAAATGGTTACTTTTTTTGAAAATAGACCAGATAATATCTGCAATGCGGCAAACATCTATGTAAGAGAGCAGGTGCTAAGGTAGCGTAGTGTTTTGCCTTCCTCATAGATAAACCATATTATATTTTCCCTTTGATTTATAAAACATGATTAACGACAGCGTTGGCTGCCCGCAATATCCATAATGGTCCCGTGATAAATGGCGATGAGATTTCCCGCAGAATATGTGCATACATCAGATAATTCCACGGTCTGTGCCACGCTGGCAAGAGGCGAACTAATTTCTCTCATACCTCAGATTCTGTCGCAGCCTCTTTTTCCCAGATCCTACGCTAATCTCGCGATTTCATTATATGTAGGTACATAGCATAAAGGCAATACTTATCACATGTAAAACCATTGGCTCTGCAAATAATTTCCTGAATATTGAGACCAAATAATTTTTAAGCTTTTCCTTACGCAAAGTCCTTGTTCGACGATCTGTCAACATTCCATTTGCTTTGCTGCAGGGTGAGTTACCTTTTGGTCAAATAAGACCATTGCAGAGCCATACGATGAGAAGGCAAGGGGAGATATTGGACTGGAAGCAGAGAGACTCTGTACATTCGCTAACGCTAAACAGCTAGAAATATTAAAAAGATGTTTGACGAAAGCTCTTTATGGTAGGCGGACTCGAGCCACAGTTACGATTTCCAGCCCTAGTCGGCTATCTATGTCCGGCTGCCCGCTGTGCCGACCGTGCTGCCATCTGTGTGTCCGGCAGTGAACCAGTCGATCCTGCCCGTGCTGCGGAAGCCCAACTGGACCGAGCTGACGCTGCCGAAGCTGCAGCAGCTCGAGGAGAGCATCATCGGCGTGGTGACGTCGCAGCGCTCCAACGGGCGCGTGGAGGTGGTGGAGTGGTCCTTCAGCTCGGCACTGCTCTACTCCGTCACCGTTATCACTACCATCGGTGGGTCGCATGAGTGCGCTCTGTACGTTGTGTACATGTCTAACTTTCATAGGTGGGTGGGGTACCGCTAGGAGGGTATAGGAGTAGTTACTACAAATAGTATCCTCAGGTGTCATCATCTGTTTGACCTATTGGCATCTCATGCTACCTCTCCCGAGCTGGTGGTCACCCCCTCCGGACAACTTGGTGGCGAGGGCCGGTCCTTGTCGGACTACACCCTATCCGGGGTGACCGTTGGAGCGGCAGGGCGGACTGTCCCATCGGGATTCGAGACGTTCTCTTCCAGCCGCGACAGTCGCTGCCGTCGCGGCGCACCTTATAGGTGGTCTGCACAGTCTAATGCCTATATACATCTATCCTATCATCTGACATCTCCGCAATAACCCTTTCAGGCAGAAGGAGCTTGTTTCCAACAAGATAGGCAAAACAAACTAGGTGGAGAGTGAAAGCACCACTTTTGTTATTAATTGATTGGCAGATGAGAGAACCAATACTTTGATGTAAAATACACATGCATGGATTCGCTTTTCACCGCTTCACGCTGACAGATGGTAACGAAGTTATTTTATCTACCTCGACCTCGTCGTAAAAACGTAGGTACTCGTATGTTTTATGCCCTGGGTCAGCACCATCAAAATCTGAATTGAGTGCAGGCCCCGTCATACACGACAAAAATAAATAAAATCACACCTTTAACGAACCAGACCATTTATCCGAAACTTCGTGATTTGAAGACCACCGTAGAATTTGATTAAAACGTTACATAATATTGCAAGGGATTTCATAAGAGAAGAACAAGACCACTGCAGAATAGGATGATATAGTTAGATGCGCACCTGTAGATATATTGGAAAGGTATGTAGTAAAGAGCAAGTAGCATACGAATATATTCAAGAAGCAATTACATATAAAGAAGCGCTTATTTATATGTAATTGCTTCTTGAATATATTCGTATGCTACTTGCTCTTTACTAGATGCGCACCTGTATTATCATTTACAGCGACAGGAACATGTTTTCGTCAGTGCAAAATTTTACTGCCGCGAATGTTTGCAGAACTTTAGCATAGACGTTAAAGTCAACAACTATTTCCAACTCTCCCGCCGCTTGGGCCGAGTCGTGTAGTATCCATGCGCCGCCCGGCGAGCACCGTCATCTGTTTGTTGAGGCGCGCTATTTATGAGAGACATTTGCGGTAACGAGGACATTTCTGAGGCTCGTGACCGTACAACACTCGCCGTCTACGCTGCCGGTCAGTGTCCTTAGACCGTCCACCGTCCTTCAAAACTGACCATGTTTGTCTACAGATACAGTGGAGTCATAAGTGGCTCCTATAGGGCGCCGCGCATGAAAAGTTTGAAGGATTCTGGCTTAATTAAACTAGCCAACCCGCTGAAAACAACGTAAAAGTTGTTAATTGTGTGTGTCGTTTCATAGCAGTGTTGGTGTTAAAATGTTTAAAAGCTTAATGCGTGCTTGAGATTAAACAAAGCGCTCTGTTGCCGATCCACCGACATAATTGCCTGCCCGGCGTCTCTTCGCAGTATTATGAGCGGTGAGGGATGCTCTTTCTTTGTAGACGTCAATTAGTGGTGTAACGAAGTTAATGCTGGCACTGAATAACGCACCTCAGCGAGAGAAGCCAGTCTGGCTATATTCAGCGGTCCGTCACCGGCGTTTGAAGCGAATTTTCGAACCTTATTTTAAACAGCAACGTCACGGCTTTTCTTGTTCTCATGCAGATGATTACGAGCATTACCACTCGAACTGTGCAGACAGATCACAAGCACTCCTTACCCAGATGTGTATCATTACAACGCTGATTCACCATTAATTATGTTTTCTTATTTCCCACATTTTTATTTTACTTTTGGGTTTCAAGCCTTTCCTGATCTACCTGACCTATCTTATCTCTTATCTGCCAGTTCCATGACGTTATTTTGCGAAGCTTTGGTTCAATGAGTGGCAAACGCGAAAGAGGTCTTAAGCATTAAGTCCCAGACGATAGACCTTTAACCCTCGCCGGACCTATTGGTTTTCTACATACGCGCCGGCCGAGGGGGGGGGGGGCGGGTACGACCCCCCCTCCTCGCCGTTTCGCCCCTGGTGGAGCTAGCGCGTCGCGGAAAAAACGAGCGTGTGCGCCGTTACGAGACGCAGAGATTGGTACCCGATTTTAAGGTCCTAGGTCAACCGGTGACCTCTGAGGTCAGGTCAAGTGCCCCAGGGTACGGTTCAGTTTTTGGTGAATAACTACGCAAAAAACGGCCGCAGAGCCGCGATTTTGGCAGCATCGTGTTCGCCTTGATCAGGCGCGTCGAATGATATACTTTTTGTTCGGGTCAGGTCAACTTAGGGTGTTGACCTCAGGTCAAGGTCAGGTCAGCACCCCCAGGTCACGAAGTTAGTCGAAAGAGGTCATGTCGCATATCATTCGATTCGGCAGGTCTTCCTGAGTCCAGTGGTGGCTTTCCCGACTCGCTAGCTCAATTTGATCGGGAGTTATTGACGAAAAACTAATATGACCTTGATGACGTCATAAATGACGTCACGGAAGGTCAACATTGCAAAAGTGACGCATCTAACCTTGCAAGGAGTGCATCAAATCACGATTATGTGTGCTTGAGATAGTTGGAGATCGTTCCCGGCGCCAGAATAGCAGTTTGAATTTTTCCCCATTGACTTATAATGGTGAGGTCACGAAAATGACCTGACCTCATATGACCTTTAGGAAAAATCCGAGATATACAAGTTGTGAGACTCATGATGGATACTAGATCCTGCAAGTTTCTTTTTTTTTAACTTCTAGCCATTTATTTGATCATTTGACCACCATTAACCACGCAAAACAAACGCACACAAACATTACATACAAAATTACAACATAATATGACACACATAGCTTAACAGCTTTACTAACAGACCTTTTAACAAAAAACACAAAACACAAAACCAAACAAAGCAAAAAAGAAAAGAAAAAAAATAAGCAAACGAACCCAAATAAAAATGACGACATACGTAAGCATTCGGATCAACTAATAACGGCATTCGTGACCCTCCACAGGGCATCATATCTATCCATTTTGTCATTTATTTGCGCCACATGCTTTTCCATAAGACTGTACTGTTGCAGCGTGCTGATAAAGGTCTGGAAAGTTACCGGTCGGTTACTAACTCTACAATTCCAAATATACTGTTTTTGGCTACCAAAATCAGTAGATTTAAGCGATCAACAAAGTGAGCTTCGCCTTCGACCCCGCATATTATCTGTTGTAGAGACAGCTCCTCTCTTACCCTGAATCTGTCCTTCAACTGACGCCAGAAACTCGCCACTACCTGACAATGCCAAAAAAGATGTCCAATAGATTCTTGATACATTGGACAACTCCGACACTTGTTTGTTTCAATTAGGCCATACATATACAGACGCTTATTCGTGGGTAAGAAACGATGTAAACACTGATATTGCAACCATCTTAACTTTCGATCTTCACTAATTGCGTACACAAAGTTAAATGCTCTATCCCAATCATAAGTTGCTGGTAACCCCAGTTCTTCCTGCCACTTAATGCATGCAATCGGCTTCGCCTGATTTTCTCTGATAATTTTCAGATACGCCCATCTTACTACTTTCTTTGTTTCTAATAGTTCTTGCGTGACCTTATTTCTGACCCTTGTGATAGGCTCCTCTACGTTCAGCAGTTCACGCCAATTCTCGGGGATTGTCCTAATCAACGATTGACATGGTAATGGGTGTAAGTCGTACTTTAATGCCAACTCATTTGCAGACAACATTCGATGTCTATCGTAATCGTACAAATCGCTCACTTTGACCATTCCCTTTGCAATGTATACACTTCTCCTTATCCCCTGAATTTTCTCTATTCGTATATTTCTATTGAACCATATCACTTCATTAAGCACATCGCCAGCTGTTAGGGATTCTTTTGTAGCTACTTCTCGCCAGGCTAATACGGTTTCTCTCCAAAAACTATTACTCACGCGCCCCTGTATCTGTCTTAGGTCAGGGTTGCATTGGAATATACTGACATCGCCGTTAACCGTCAAAACTGGGCTTATAACCTTTTTCCAACTAGAAACATTATCTTTGTCGAGATATCGTTTGACCCATCCAATCTTCAGACTTTTTACTACCGTCAAAACATCTGGCACCTTTAGGCCTCCTTTTTTGTATTCCATTTTGAGAACTTCTTTCTTAACCCTAGCTCTTTTCTTGCTCCAAATGAACTGGAAAATAATATCATCTATACGTTTGATCATATCGGCTCTTGGTTGTGGGAGTACAGACATTACGTAAATTAATTGCGACAATGCGACAGATTTGACCAAATGGATCTTGCCATATGGCGTCAATCCTCTTTGCAGCCACGGGTTAAGACGTTGTTGCAATTTATCAATCTTATTTGTATAATTTTTCTGCAAGATATCCTCCTGGAGTTCGGTATCAATTAGCAAGCCTAAAATCTCGATCGGTTCCCTCGTCCATTTCAAGCCAATTTCTTCGCAAATGAAGTCTTTTGTCTGTGATTCATTGCCAATCCACGTGCAGTGGGTTTTATGTTTATTTAACTTCAATCCCGACACTGCTTCAAAACTATCGAAGGTCGCTATACACTGTCTGAGTGAGTTCGTTGTTCCGTCCAAAAATACCGTAAGATCATCAGCGTAAGCTGTAACCTTCACAGTGATGGAGCCCGACAGGTCCACCCCCTTGACCTCATCGTTATTTCGTAATGTGCGAATGAGGGGCTCTATACACAACAAAAACAGGTAACAACTCAGTGGGCAACCTTGCCGTAGTCCCCTTTTAATCACATACGGCTCAGACAAAAAGCCGTTTACTTGGACTCTAGCCGTAGGGTAATGTTCAGGCAGATCGGTATACAGTATATCTATCCACTTTTGGAAATTTGGTCCAAACCCGTTCCTTCGAACTACCTCTTTGAGATAAGACCAGCTCACGCTATCGTACGCTTTTTG